CGTGAGCTTTCAATGTTGCCTCCCAGGTTACTGTTCTCTAATCGGCGTAGCAATCCTTTGTTCTACGCATCCGAGCCAGTCGTGCTTTCGCGTGCGGTTTATCTGAGGATCCCACTTCTTGACACCACCAACAAAGTTGGCGGATCAAGCGATAGACGGGCGGCAAATCAAAATGTCCTTGCAAAATTTTATGGTCTCAATAGCCTGTGGTCAGTCAGATCACAAAATATCCTTTCGCCATAATTTCACTTCTTTTAGAGGCGATATTGAGGAACGGCCATTGTGGTCTGGTAGCACTGAAAGAGCTCCGCCAATTACCGTGCATTGCACTAAGCACTCTCCAATCGAATTCAGAATACACTCGTCAATGAGGGTGGCAGGCCGACCAGATTTGTGGTTTTTTCTCAAGTATCTGGAACTCGGCAACCAAATAATTGGCATATTGTGAAAGATAGTCTGGAGGTCCATCACAACACGTAGAACTCCTACTGCTTCGCTTCAATCGACGCATTTTGTGGGCTTATAAAGGCAGGAGCAGTCGAACATACCTTCAGTGAAAGGCGATTTTTAAGCTTCAAACGCTGCGAAATGCTACGACAGAAATGCTGTGGAGAGAGCATTAACCACCGCTCACATGCGTTCAACAGTGAATGTTTCAAAACGATCCCAAAAGATTTTGCAAGGTGAACATAAAATGCGCAACAATTATTCCGACAACCTAATATATTTCGTCCTTTGCGGAGGCGTAGAAGAGTCCTAACGTTGTCTTTGATATGAAACCGTTGTTGATGTCGCTTGGTTTTCGTTTCTTATGGTAGCGCATTTCATTTCAACCAGCAGCACCTCCTTATCGTATAACATCGCATCCTCTATGCGATCCAATCTAGCTTCAGCGTAAATTCGTCATGGCTTATCAACAAGAACGAAGCGGGTCACATTTCTTGGATTTGCCGGTTCCGCCTTCATCATTTTTTCCTCTTCGGATGTGAGGTGTTTCTTCCTCTTGCAAGTTTCCGCTCACAAAAATGTGACATTGCGCACTGCAGGGCAGAGACAAACACACAGTCGTCAACATTTTTTCGCAAGCGTGCGTGCTTCTGCAAGACGGTTAAGAAAAAAATCCACATCCATAGAGTTCACCCAGTTTACATCTTTACCATCCTACCTCTACCGTCCAAGTGATGTGGGTAATGTAGTGGACTGTTGGAAATAAGTGAAATAAGTTTGCCGAGTACAGTTTGTAGTGATAATCATTTCGTTGGAGGGTTTCGCCCACTTATTTCTTTGTTGCAGTGCCACCATATCCGCCTAGCGGTAATATTGGAGTTGGTTATCCAACAGCATACGGTTTGTGGCTTGGACGTGGAAATTGGGCAAGTTTTCATCTTTCAAATTAGAAGCAAATTTAAGACAAATAGAATACCGATAAATATCAATTTTACTCATAGCAAGAATGATGGGTAAGTTCAAAACCCATCGCAACAGGTGGGAATCGAACCACCTCTCGCTTTCCAGGAAGCTGTGCTGTCGATTACACCACCAGGACACCACTTTACCATAGTCCACATTTTACTGGTACACTTACCACAGCTGCTCAAAACTCACAAGCGCAACGCGATGAGTCGGTCAGTCGACCACGGCTGACCGCCTCAGTGATTTAACCCTTTCGGCCCTGGCGGTGGCAATTGCCACCACCAAATTCAAACGCTTGCATTGCCGCTGAAACAGCATGGTTTTTCTAATCCTGCTAGAGGTTGCTTCAGTCAACCTTCCCCTTCCTAATTATGAGCTAAACCTGCCATTTCATTTTGTGTGTTGCTGTTAGTATTACAAGTATTTGTGTACAAGTGCAACAATGAATCGGCGCTGGTCCCCGCAACCGGCCAAGTAAGTGTCACTTTTTCTTAAAATACTTGAAGTAGATCCATTCTAAATCAAAATTATGGGTTATAATGTTGTGCAAGATTATAAACTTTTTCGGCATAACTATGAAATTTCGAATTGTTTCGACATAAGCTTAAAAACTAAGAAGGCCAATTTTCAAAGCTTCTTAGTTTCTTTGTTTGTGATCGAATAGCTTCCAAATTTCGCCATAATGATACCTATATGCTCACAAGTAATAAACAATAGCTAGAAGAAAAATTTCTCCACGGGGAAAAATTCAGGTCCGAAAGGGTTAAAGCTCAATAGAGGAGTTATATTTTGCCCATAAACCAGGATTCTTGTGATAAGCTCCAAAAAAAAAACTCGTGAAATGCAATCACATCAGCGGGCAATATCCACCCTCGCTCGCGTTCATGCTCCCTCGTCTCTGATTCTTTTCCCTCTCCTCAGCGCTCAGTATTGCTTACCTCTTTGTCTGTCTCTTACCTCGTCAGAACACTTTGAAGCCAAGAAAAACAATGCCTCTAGTTTCTAAGTTTTTTTGGACTTCCTCCTCTTTTACTCACCACCTTTTCGTTTACAAAGTTACTTTCAATATCACCCTTAAGGTCATATCAGCTTTTCTGGGGTGTGCCTTTGATGCTAAGGATAACATGGAGTAAATTTGGACGATCCATCTGGTGGATGGAGTATCACACAAATTGAACGCCACTTCCCACATCTTCATGACCCTGCCCACAACATTTTCCTTTTTAGGCCAATGCGTTAGCGAGTACCATTCGATGTCTGAATGGTGGTGCTCATATTGGGCAGTGTCGTATCGATGATGACGCCATTTGTATGGCCCTCGGTGGTAGCTGTATCAAGAGAGCATGCTGTACGACACCATATTTCGGACTCACCACAACTACAGTCCCGCCAGAAGTCGACGGAGAGGTTAGTATTACATGACGTCTTATTCGACCCTATTCCAGCTACTTATTATCTCGCTTGACCTCGGCTGTTACCAGCCAATTGCAGGCAACGAGAAAAGATACCGAGCTTCGCACAATCGCACCAATAGTGGAAGGAACTGTTGAGCGAAAGGTGGGTCATCAGAAAAAAGTATTGAAAGGCATAGTAGGCTATCGAATAACAATCTATGTGCCCAACACGAAACTAGTAGGATTAAATACTCAAAAAAGAAGGAAGTGAAGTAAAGTTATTCGGCACCTACCATATATTATATTACAGTATTGGAGTTGAAGAGGTGTCCCAGGATCAAACTGGTGTATTTCTGCTTTCAAGCATTGCTGCGAAATGGGCCGGCAACAAAGAAGAAAGGAAACATTCAGTCGAAAACGCTCAGTTAGAGGCTTGCTCACCTTCGTAATGCGGTTGATCTAAGGCAATGAGAGACCAACCATAAGCGCGAATAGCGGAAGTGATTGGCGGTGAATGAGCCGGTATCATAGATGCAGGAAGAGGCGCTAGACAACTCTGGGGCTCGGACGTTGATGGGGCTGGCAGGGTGCTGCAGCTAAGTTTGCTAGGCTCGAAAGGCGTTGCCAGGGCCTTGCCTGATTCGAGTGGCCAGATCTGTAGTGGTCTTTTAGCGATGCTATTTTCAGAGGGCGAGCAGTAGTTTTTCCGCACGATTTCTCTGTCTGGGTGCCATGGGAGCCGCGTTGGATGGGGGCTGAATGCGAATGCTCTGCGGCAATTTAACAAGCATCCCACTTCGCGAGCGCTGTTGATCCAACATTGGATTGGAAAAATAAAAGGGCATTATTCTGTAGGCAGGCGGCGGGTTCTCGACAATTCGGCTTGTAACGGCAATGGCGCATTCGCATTGCATGAAATCTGCACGCAGAGTTTTTTGAAGTGCAGCGGCGTGGCGCATCTCAAACGATAGTTGAGCGCAGCTCCGAGAGCTTCATCTCTTGATGTGCTTGAGTGAACTGGGAAACGTGAAAGAATGATAGAAATGGGCTCAGAGTACCAGATATTTCGAGCGAATATATAGTGTGTATAACAGGCCACTCTCTTTGTAGTATGCTTGTTAATTAACAATGAACTCATTGCAATTCTGGTCGATGTTCACTTCTGCAGCATAACAGTCGATAGTCGAAGAGCGAATATAGTGAATTTTGAAGGCTCATTCAATCTACTACGTCAAGTGGACCATAACTGAGGTAATTTCAGGTCAACGTGTTAGAAATCGAAGAACTGATCCGTATTGTGGAGAGTCTGAAGAGTAGCACCGTCCAAAGTATAGAAGAAAAGCAGAGCATTAAGGTAGGAGATGCAAGATATGAATACTTTTGAAGTTCACGGGAAATCTCAATGAATTGCTCGAGTCTACCAACTTCAAATCATGTGGCTGTTGAACAACATGTCTAGAATCTGCTCACATGGCTTTCCTACTTGCAAAATTGCATGTAGCACGAGAGCGCTTCTATCTATCATTTAAGAATCCCTTATTTATAGCTCTGCCTGTCTGGTCAACTCTCGAATGGAGTATGTGCTACGGACGATGACTGCCCTTCTTTACACCTGTGTGAAGAGGAACGATGTTGTTATATTAAATAAAGTTCTCATTTGTAGCATGTAGCCCACTCAGTTGAACGACCTCTGTGAGGCAGAGGAAGTCTGCAACGCCCACCCTATACACAGCGATAGGAACGTAGGAGGGAAGAGCTACATAATAGCGCTCAAAGGGTCGATTATCGGTGAATGGTGATGAATGGATCATGAGCTCCAAAATCTTGATCTCGTATTATTCTTCCTCAAATGTGGTTGTACGGAAACCATGGAAAACAGAATCAACACGAATGACCCCCGTATACGATTTCGGCAGCAGCATCACTTTTCTGCACTTTTTCGTTATAATTTTGGTTTGCACGCCGTTCCATAGCTGTAAGCTCATTCCGGGAAGACGAACAGTAATTCATTTAACACATTCACAACGACGCCCTTTTTCCACTTTTCGGTCGTGTGAGTCGAACGCGATTTTTGAGGCGCCGCCGCCTCACCTCACATCCGTGGATTTTGTACTGTAAATGAACAAAAACATGAATGTCACAAAATAATTTCAGCAATGTCCAATGCGTAAAGATTATCTAAACATATAATAGTAGGATTTCGATCAAAACGACGAATAGTGGTAATGAAAAGCAGCATTTATTCACTTTCCCCGCAGTGGAAGCCTGAAAGCAATCTTACTCGATTGTTTCGATTTGCCGACTTATATTTCCATTCATAGCGCACTGTCTTCATTTCTAGCACACCTTCCATTCACACTCGTGGGAAAAGAAAAAGAGAAATTAATCAAATCAAAAATTACATACGACGTCGAAAAATATTCCTAAACTGAAGCATATGTAAGCTTCAGTCAATCCTGTCGTTTGTGACACGTATTAGTCCCTATTTCATTTGTTGATATCACAGATAATCAAAAATATCGACATAACTGACCGAAAAGCGATTATTGGCCAGGCAGCCCATGTGGGCTGCCATCGTCCTACGCACACTTCCTTGACAGGCCATATGGGCTACCGACGGCGTGTATTGATGGCGCAAGTAAAAGAGCCAATAATCTATCTCTAGTTCTTCTTTAAGCGTGTCATCGAAAGGCCTTCGTGGAAAACCAAGTCTTAACTTTCAAGGCCCTTCTCCATCGATTCCGTTCCAGGCTTCAATGATAGACTACTGTAGCTTTCTTTACTCTGGAACTGACAGCTATTTTCAAAGTGCTGCCACTGTTCATTCGTTAAGGGATTTACGTGGCAGACGGCAGACGGCGCGTCGCTGTTCAAAGCCGTCCGCCGGCCTAGAAAAGTTACGAGATATTGCTGCGAGACTTTCTGGTAATTAGTGAAGTCCATTTTGTAGGTCACCAAGGGATGTTACACCGCCAAATTATTTACAAAGCAACCTAGATCACCACACCTCCTCGTCAGAGCGCTAAATTGGGCCGCCTGCCGCAGTTGCGCCAGAAACATTTGTTTTTGTCGAGACTGCCCATGTTGACCTTCCGCAGTCGGGAAAAAATCAGCCTGGATCCCTTTATTTACAAGGGGGTCTTTCAGGGCAAGCCGCGCAGAACGGTGTCTTGCACATTGCAGAGAACAATGTATTATACATAGAGAGCTCAAAACGGTGCTTCATTTCGCTGAACGGTCTTAGTAGTACCAAAAAAGAGATGCAATGTACTGCCAATGTTTCAATGCCAAGTGGCAACAAAATTGTGCATTCAAGGTTGGCGGCTCTAGCTTCAGTGTGGCGCTTGAATTTTGCATCTGAGTTTTCGCCTACGGATCGGTGCCGAATGGTGCTAAATTGTCAAAATCAGATGTCATATTCATGGTCAGGACCATTTGAAGCCAAAAAGTACCGCCAACCTTGAATGCAAAATTTAGTCGCCGCGGGGATCGAACCATTGAGAGTATCATTCACCACTTTTTTGGTACTACTAAAACCGTTCAGCGAAAATGAAACATGGTTTTGTGGTCCATACATGCGTCCCTACAATATGCAGTGAAGCGTTTCGTAAAAGCGCGGCTCGAAGGACCCTACTTGTTAGCTGCTGGTGGATCGACGTCGGCTCACCACCATTTACAGTCCATATCCGGGAGACAGGGTGGGAGGGGCCATAGACGTGATTGCGGACTTCACAAACTTGATAGATGTCGCAGTGATCAGCTGATTCATACTCGCTTATTATTCTATTATTCCGCTGTTCTGCTGTATTTTGGTATTCTCTAGACTATTCTACTTATTGAACAGAGACAGGTGAGTCAATTTCATAAAAAAAGTTTACTGTTTTGCATGGGATGTGCATGATTTT